AAGATATCTCACACTTATTTCATTCATTGAATGAAAGACCTAGAATACAATAGCCTAATTTTGTCTTATTTTCTGGGAAATTCTTGTAAAATAACAAGCTAGAATTCAAGAGTTTACCTCTCCGTTGTCTCATGAATACTCAGGAACTTGAACCCTTTCCTTCATCTCTTTTTATCTTAGGCTTCTTTTCCTGAAGATGAATGATCTTCAAGGACTGCAGCTGTTATTATTATGCACTGGTGTTATTACTTTGTGCTATTGCCCAGTGTCATAGTATAATTTACTTCAGCAGATAGCATGCATGAAAAAAATTCATCATTTTCATTTTTATCGTGGCAAAGACAGAACTTTGGGTTACTTTCCATAATTTATATCATCATTCAATCCTTTCCTCTTTGTGGTATCAGGATTAATGTTAGGGCCCATGCTATTCTATTCATCTGAAGTAACTTACTTCAATGTTTTTCTTTCTGTTTACTGAGCTATTCTAAACTCATGAATCCCTTTTGATGTCAAAAAGCTATGCAAGGTGTGTAGGAGTGCTCACCAGTCCCATTTAAGGGAAATTTTTTGTGGTTTCTGAGCAGATTAGAGAAGGCTGAGAGCTTCAAGTTAAGCTTCTGACTGGGTGGGAAAAATCCATACACCCATTTTTTGAAAAATAAACGGACAAAATAGCAAATACTGTGTTTCTGAATTAAGCTTACAATATGTGAGGAGAAAGCACAAAACTTTAATTTACTGTGAATGTTTCACTCATCCACACTGAATCTGTATTCTGTTTTATCTCAGCTCTAGGCATTATTAAGGCAGGGCACACATGGAAGAAGGAAGATAAAGGCCTAAGAGAAAGCAAACAAATGTAGTTTAACACATTTAAAAAAACTGAACTGATAATGATTAACTGTTATACTTACTCGGAGATGACAAAAAATTAAGTGAAATTATTTTTAAAATGCAATCAAAATCAAAGAAAGAGAAGCAACCTTAGTTTCCTTAAGAGTGGGACATTTACTCTTCATGATTTTGTCTCTACAAGATCTGCTAGAAAAAAAAGATGACCTATCTTAGACTGTGAGAGACTGAAATTGTCCATGGGTAAACACTGCTAAAATCATTGGAGGACTTTTGCCCACCAGAGCAAACTGCAAAGAAGCAGCTGTCCATCTATGACCACCAAAGCCCATCCCTCCCCAAATAATACACCTACTAACCTTAATTTGGATTGTGACTGGAACTTGAGATAAGATAAAGGAGGTGCTATTGTCCAATCAACCCAGGCCTGGGGAGAAAAATGTATCCACAAGCAATACTAGAAGAGAGACTGGAATACTAAAGTTTCAAACATTCAGGGGCCAACCTGCTGATGTGCAAAGGACCCACCCAGGTGCAGAGGGCTTCATGTGCCTGAAGGGGCTCATCTCTGCTGATGATTTTAATGGGCCATATTGGACTAAACTGCACTGCCATAACAGGCAGCTGCAACGACTTAGACCATCAAAGACCCCTGAAGTTTCTCCCGAGTCACAGTGAACCTGAACACTTAAAATTCATGAAATCTTTTGAGTTTTGTGGACTTTCCCCACCCCCGACGGACCAACATCTTCACTTCAAGCGGCAGACATCAAAGTTGTACCAAGTCTCGTTTCTGGATCCAACAAGGGGAATTGACTATAAATCTTTCTGTGTTTGCCCTTTTTACCTCTTTCTTTTCCTTAGACATTTCAAGTGCTATTTTTATACTTTTATATTGCTATGTAACTGCAGATAATGATGACTAAAATTGCTACATACCTGTCTTTCTTTCCAAACAAATGGTTCTAAAATTTTTCTAAAATAAACTGTGTATATATATATAGTTATATATGTGTGTATATATATATATATATATATATAGTTATGTATGTGTGTGTATATCTATATACACACACACATTTGCTTACAGACACTGACTGTTCAGTGTGGTTTTGCTCTAATCTGCCCCAAGGGATTTATTAACAAGAATATGGGTTACCCTTGCCTTCTAGGGCAGGATGTAATATAGACTTCATTAATCTCAGGTGAGATTAATTCCAGTTTGGGGAACATTTTTTTGATCAACTGCAGCTACATGATTATATTGAAGAGATAAACTGCGCAGAAAGATAGCATAAGACAGGGACTAAACACTGCTTGCTGCCACATGTGCTCTAACCAACAGTCTCTAGATCTGCCATTTCAACAGCACATTTTTGATCTGTGTAAGAAAGAAGCATTTGACTTGCAGTTTCTTTTTTGAAGTGAGGTACTAATTAATCTTGAAAGATCAGTCTCCAGCACGCAGTTTAGAAGCGTTTTTGTATTGCACTGTACTGTATCGTAACAGATTGAGATCGATTTTTTTCAACATTATATGCATTTTTTTGCCTACAGAATTCAAATCATTGGGTTTGCCAAGTCTACATTTTTCTAAGAGAAAATCCAACAGAGGGCAGTACTCCCAATGAACTACCCTATCGTAATTTACTGGCATTCCTAGTGAGAGTTAGATACAGTGCTCCTATAGTCTTTGTGAGATACCAACAAGTCTTGATGTCACAGGTTACAGAACCATATTATAAAGGCACGTAAACAATGATAAAATAATACCCTGTTATGGATTTTGTGTTTCCTCAGAAACACGAATAAGTGCAGGAAATTTGTTGAGAAAAAGTTACGAAAAATCATCAGCTATTAATGAATGTAGCCTGAAAGACTCAATTACTACTGTTAAATGTAGTATCATATAAAAGTAAAATGAAATGCTAAAAACTCCTATATTCATTAATTTTATTTTCCAATAGCAGACTTTAAACAAGATTTGACCAAGAGTGGGAATAACACCAAAAAAAAGGGGATCTTTGCCTGTCTTGTCTGCTTGAGCCTCCCAAGGTAAACAGAGTTGCTGTTGTTGTGCATTACTTTTCTTTCTTAGATAAGGATTTTATTGTCTCAGCTTTGCAACATAAACTGCACATTTTTTTAGGAAGAATGCTACCTATTATGTCCACATTTTAGCCATGAGTTCTTCACTGTAAAGCCTATCTAGTATTCAAATTCACTTGAACATTCACATTGTAGTAACTTTAATACAAGGCTGTAATTTAAATAATTTTATCTACAGTGGCTGTTATCATCTATTCACAAACCTTGAGCACAGGCTACAACTCCCATTTTTCCAAATGAGAAGCTTAAATGAGATGACAGACAAAGTGGAAGTCTCCCTCTGTACAAATACACATGACAAGCTTCTGCTTGACTGGAACATTTCTGAAGCAAAATTTTGTCAGCAACTGCCAATATCTTGAACTGAAAGAAAAAACACTTTGCAAAAAGCACCAGTCTTAATTACATTTCATGTGCTTTGTCCAGTCAGCTATGGCACACACAGTTACAGTCTGTTGGAAGTTGTTGTTTTTCCCTATCAAATCCTTTGCCTGGGACTTCAGGAGTGTTGTCTGCAAGTCAGTCTAGGTGTAGGACATCCTCAATAATTTGCCATTTTCCTAGGTTTCTTAAACTGCAGGGTACTCTTGTTTCTCTTTCACACAGGTTAGTGGTAGCCCACTGGATTTCTCATACCTCAGATGAATACAGGATTATTCTCAGACTACCTAAACAGCCTCCAGTTAGACAAGTCCAGCATAGGACTGAAAGATGGATTTTGTAAGATTTGGTTCACTGTAATTATCATATCTTATTTCCTATAGGTGAGTACAGCATAGAAAACCAAATTGAGAGGCCTTCAGTATTCACCCTTCTTTTTCAACATATTCATGAAACCTGTTTTCATGCATAAAATTGTAATGGTTTAGTTTGCGGTTTTTGCACTTTTTCTTAAATATCACAGAATATAGAGTGGCCTGAGTTGGAATGAACTTTAAAGATTATCTCCTTCCAACCTCCCCTATCATGGGCAGGTACATCTTCCACTAGACCAGGTTGTTCAAAGCCCCATCCAACCTGGCCTTAGACACTTCCAGGGATGGGGCAGCCACAACTTCTCAGGGCAATCTGTTCCTGTGCCTCACCACCATCACAGTAAAGAATTTCTTCCTAATGTCTAATCTAAATCTACCACCTTTCAGTTTGAAGCAATTCCCCCTTGTCCTATCATTACATGCCCCTGTAAATACTATCACTCCAGTGCTATGAACACCTCCTTGATTTTTTCTAAGCAAACCTTTATAAACACAAGTGATAAAGCCTCATCAAATACATCTTTCCTTCACACATGTTAGTCGTGCCTTCACTTGGCAGATAAATGTGCCCTAAGCTATGACGAATTCATATAAAGATTGATAGACTATACAATATAGAGAGTTACATGTGAAAGAAGAAGCAAAATTAGATACTGAATACTTGTTTTCATAACTTAGACCTCAACCTTGCATGTTACATTCCTTCCTCAGACATTGTCCTTCCTTCCCCCATTATGACCTTCTGGTTTGCTGAATGACCTCTGTAAAACTTGCCATGAAGGCAACAGGACCCAGTCCCTTCTGTATGAAAATAGGTACAGATATCTACTTGCATATAGTGGCCTTGGTTTACAGTTGTGTTTGTGCTCTTTAGAGTCCTTCATGCACAAGGATGTCCATCTTTGTTATAGGAGGGCATTACAATAAGGTTTCTTGAACTTACAGATTTGATGCCAAGTTTCTGAGTGCTTAAATGCAGAAGGGACTGGACTTCAGCGCTACAGAGAATGTAATGAAACACATGTGATGGCATCAAATAAAGTTAAAGCTGACAAACCTGACATAAAATTTGATAACTTCTTGTGACAAAAACCAGAAAAAGAAGTCCTACAAAGCAAATAGTTTCCAGCTGGAGGAAATGCTTTTAAGGAAATAATTAAATTCTGTCTCAAAGATTAACCTGAAGCTGCAATAGTAAACTTGTTTTACTTGAAAATGAGTGAGTGAATACAGTCACTAGTACTTCCACCCCAAGGATTCTGGCCATTTGCCTTGACTTACTCGCTTATGAAGACGTTCTGCTTCCTCCTGATATGCGGCAAGTTGCTGTTTCCATTGTTTCACATTGGCAGTGGACTCCAGCAGGGCTGCTGTGAGCTTAGCGTTATTACCCTTGAGCGTGGCCAGTTCTGCCTCCCAATGCTTGCTGATTGTCGAACTGCACAGACAGAATGAGAATGGTCAGAACTCCCAAATCTCTTCCTTTATGCTTTTTAAATGTGTTAGATTTTTTCAAAAAATATCTAGCAAAAAGAGAATTACACAAAAAGTTAAAAAACTAACCAAATATGATATCTGTTTCGTACGTAATTAATATACCAAATAGGATAACTAAATGAGAATCCAAATGCTCAAATCATCAAAACTATAAATTAAGAAAATATAGGTAATACCATTATTGGAGAACAATATCTACCCTCCCAGTTCAACATGGTATATTTACAAAAATAAAATGCTAAAAATCATGAAATCCACATCGGCTTCCAAAAGCAACAGCATTCAATTCAAGAATATGTATATGATTAGTCACTCTTTTAATATATGCACATTTAATGGAAGTGCTTTTTAAATCCACTACTTTATTAAATGTGTTGTAGGAAAATATTTGTCATTGACTTGATTAAAGACAGCTAATTGTATGCTTTGGAAGTGCAGCTTTGTTGTCTTAATGTAAGTCTTCCATTCCTGAAATATACTTTCTTTATTAAATACCATATTTAATTTGTTTTTGCAAATTCAAAGACCTTGAATTTCATAATACTGTTAAAATGCTTTTCCTCACTAATATCAGCAAAGAGAGTAGACATCAAGTAGGATGGATATACTACTGCTTTACTTCGAAGTGGAAGCTGATGTTGAGGTTTACTGAAGTAGCCTCTACTTAATAGAGGGAAATTCCTGCTTACAATATAGTTGTTCTCCTAGCAAACACACGGCTTTAAATGTCACAGGTAATTAGTTTGCCATCATCTGCAGACAATACCTTTACACTCAGTATGCAAAGGAAAAGTATCTCAGACACATCAGGTGAATACATTATATGCATTATTTGCAAATAGCTCATTAATGTGCACTTGTATAATGCTAACAGCATGTGAGGTGCACACCTCCATGGACAGCACATACAGAAAAGAATAAATTTTGTTTAATTAGCTCACTATTAAAGGCATCAATGAAAACCAAAAATCTGTAACTCTGACCAAAATGATATTGTATGAAGAATTATTATAATGCAATTATATATTTAAATATAACTGTTAATATTATTAAATTAATTATAATTAATTACTATTTTGAATGTATGTTTATAGATTTATTTGAACTTAGCACACATGTATAATGAAATATTATGTCATAATTTTGTCCACTAAGTTTCCTTCTTCCACTTTCTCATATGCAAAGTCCATCCCATCAAAACATATTTCAAAATCATTATGACTCCTATAAATGCTCCTTAGGCATGCAAAATTAACCAAAAACTGCGGAACATTCATTACTTGTTGTACCATGTGTACTGTTTCACTAAAACTTTATATCTGATTCTTCCATGGTCCTGCATTTCTTTCCAAATAGTACTTTGTCTCCTTGAACAGGGATACAAGTTCCTCCAGAAGAGGAATACTCTCTTACATTTAATGATACAACTAATTACAAGTTCACCACTGGAAATTTTACATCTTAAAAGACTAAACTAAAATAGTAACGATCCTACTTCCTCAGGGAACAGAGACTCACATATAAAAGAAGATAAGCACGAATTTCTGTAACCATGTCCTCTAATCAGATTTGAGTTTCACTTACAGTAGCCCAGAATATCAACAAATTGTATTAAGAGAATGCTCAAAATATCTAGTTCATGAGTATATTCATACTTCCTTCTTGATGTTCTGATCTGACAAATATCCAATCCAGTAGTTTCATGTGAGTTCCATTTAGCAGTCCTGCAGGACTATTGGCAACTACTAGCTTCTAGCAAATTGTTTATATGTGACACTGATACTCTCTTACAAAATGTGCCTTACTACTCATCTTTGCCCTCAGAAGATATGTGCACACAAACTGATGTAACACAGCTGTATCTGAGGCAGTCAAAGACTGAGAACTGTTTGATCATTCCTTATCCTAAAGAAGTGAAAGGATTTTTGTAATCTAATAATGCTTATACTTACAATGATATCCTTCTAATCCACTAAGAACCCAGAAGTTGGACTCTCAGGCAGTGATGAGCAATAATGTGAGGGTGATTTGTGGTGTGTATCACTTTCACCTTTGCTTGGTGCCCCTACTACAGTGCCTCCCAAGAAAACAGCCAGGAGCTTTTAAGTTATTCCTTGTATAATGAAATGCCAGTATGAAATATGAAGTATGTATTTTCTATTACTGCTATGGTTACTGTAGTTCAAAAGCTGTAAAGTTTCTTTGATCTGATTATTTTTCAATTGGTTATTCTCAATAGGAATGCATCAGTACTATTTCTCAACTGCACTCTTTTTCCCTAGGAGATCTGCATATTGGGCAGGAATGTTTCTGTTGTAATACAGGTGTGACTTGTTTGTAGCATACACTGAGTTTTTTTCTACGAATAATTGTTACTGTATCTTCTACAGATTCTACTACTGTGCCATCAAACAGAAGCATATTACTTAAATTAGTCTAGTTTTGCATTTGATAATATACAAAGGCTTCCTAAGCCTTTAGACTTACCCTATTTCTTCTTAATGGATATCATACTGGGAAACACAGTCCCAAAGCTATGGATTTGTTTGCTTCATAAAATCATAATTTGATTAAAATAGCCCATAACCACTCCCAGCTGTTCTGTCTTTCTTTTCTCAAATACTTTCTTGAGATTAAAAAAAAAAAAAAGGAAAATAAAAACCAACAAATAATGTAATGAAATTATATTCTGTGGATTAGATTGGTTAAAACTGGATTTAGATTAGATAAAAACACACGGCAGGCTGTTCCTAGGTTAGACTGGGAGTATCTGCATTGAAGCCTGTATCTGTAGAGCTACATTGGTTCAAATTTACCAACACTTCCCAACTAAACACTGGGAATCGTATAATTCAGACAATGAAATTGTCCCTTGGAGGAGGAGATGCTGAGGCTAACTCCTGTGAAAGGGAACACAGAGATCAAGAAGATGATGGACACATGGAAAGTCCAAAGGGGTCCCAGAAACTGCTCAAGCACATAGCTGGAATTTTGATGGTGAAACAGGTGGACTACAGTCCCTTGGGACAGGTACAGGAGAGCTGCACATACTCTTTCTCTCTAAAACCTTTTACTACATTCCTGTCTGAAAGGCTTGGTGCTAAAAGGAGTTGATTTTGCCTTCACTGCATTAGATTCTGTCATGAAAAATACATACACAGCCCCGACAAGGTTGTCTTAGGAGTTGTAAATATCTAAACCTAATCTGAATCATCCCTCATGTGTTCTGAGACCATGTACTTGATAAAGCACTTAAAATATGCACACTTACTCAGCGATCACACTGATCCAAACAGTAATTTCTATCAGAGCATTTTCCAGCTCTGCACTGTGGTGGAAAGCTGTTTAAAGACACTAAAGGGCACAGTTATATACACTTGCAGTACAGTGGTGCAATAATTCAACCTGTGTACATGTTTCGTCTTCTTCTTAAAATATCCATCCCTTTGCAGGCAGTGTCACAATTTTAACAGTTATTTCTTGTAACCTGTCAGAATTAACATCACTGACTGCCTGACAATCCCAAAGTTTCAAGATGGTCCTTCAAAAAAGAAACATTCTTAACACTCTGGCTTGTTGCCTGTTTTTCAGCATGAAAAGCTACACAAAAGTTTTAAAAATACCCTAATAGAGAATAAAGCTTAGTCATTTCCCTTGTGAAACTTCGGAACGTCTGAAAACACCAGGACAAGCTGTTTTGCATATATCCCATTGGTGCCAAATACAAGAGAAAGGGCTCCTCTAAAGAATAAGAGCAAATTCTGAGTTTTATTTGGTTAACTACCATGCTAATACATTAAAAAAAAAAAAAAAAGACAAAAAAGAAACAAGGAAAGAAAAAGCGGAAAAAAAAAAAGCTTTCATAGCAGAGGTTTGGGTCTGACAATGACAACTCGTTGTGGGATTTCAAGTGCCCTTTAGTGTGCAAAAGGTCAAAATTCTCCTGAATCTCCAGTCCTTGGTTTAGGCCGCAGTATCTGGTATGTGTGTAACATCAGACATGCCCACAGTCAGAACACCACATGGCACCCCACTGTCAAGGCTAAGGATTCAAAATCTGATATTTAAAATCTGTGATATCCAGTAATTCAATCACTTTCACAAAACACTTCTAGAAAAACTGCTGGCTGGTATCACTCAGCCTAACTGTAATACCCTCTGAAAATTAAAGTAGGAGTCAATGATCTTCCTTCCATACATTTAGGCATTCTGGCCAATTAACATCAGACCAATCTCCTTTCTCACTGGGGATTAGTTACAAGCCCAGTAAGTCACTGAGGAATAGCTTTGGTATCTGTCCATCTGTGACCTGAATAGTGAGCCAGAGGCTATAAATGCATGATTATCTTTCTCTGCAAAGTAGGTCACTTAAGGAAAATTAATCCGAAAAGCTCCAGTCACCACATTTAGCCAGTTGCAGAAGGCTTGCAAAAGGAGGGGGGATAATCACACATTGATGAGTTCCATTCAGAATGAAGTTATTTTGAGAAATGCTTTCATGAAACAAAGAAACAAAAGCACTACAAATTATGTTTCTGCTTTTTAAATCATTATTGCTCACTCACTGTTCACTTGAATGCAGTACCAACACTGTGAAACATGGTTTAAGCTTTATTTCAGATTTATAGCAATAAAAGGTGCAAAGAATTCCACTTTATTAATATTTAGGGGGCTTAATATTACATTCATTGCATAAAATTAATTAGTTCAAAATTTCTTCTATAACATAGTCATGGTTTGAAGAAACTACTGTTATTCAAGAGCATGTAAATGATTTTCTTCAGGTGTCACTGTGATCTGCTCTGATGGTATGTGGTGAGCAATCTTATTTCGGGACAGCAGATGTGAAGAGGAATTTAGCCAAGTAAAAATGGAGCACATTCAACATAAATTGTGGATTCTGGTATAATAACTAAATCCATAAGACTTGACAAATATGAA